TTTGTACATTTCAGCTATAGTATAACATAAAAGCACAATGTAAATAAAATTTTGCCATTTCGTTAAAGATCATGTGATCGATTTCATTTTGTGAATCAAGTCACGATTGATTATTTAACACTGATTAGCACGAAATGGTCGTTATTCAGCTGGCCATAATAAAAACAGTATAATTGAAAACTGACGTGAATTTGACATTAAACAGACTAAATTTATAAAAGCTTTCAATTTATGACCTTATGAAATAAAGACAAACGATTTTAAAATATAAACAGAAATGATGGGAAACATTTGTGCCGCTATCACACACTCAATTTGTTCATCGAAACTACAGTAAACACTAATTAGTTTATGTTTTTCAGCTAGAATGAAGAGCTTAAAAGTGGTTAATTCTCCACAGAAGTGAGTGCATGACATAAAAACCAAACGTATGAGTACACAACATATGACTTCAGTTTTAAATAAAACACTTGGGAGAGACAGATAGATAAGTTATTTCTATCTGTTTGTTAAATACGTTTATTTTGGGATTAGGAGTTTCTAAGTAATTGGGAGTGAGTTCAGTAGTGTACACTAAGAAAGACTTGCAAGATTTCTTTCAAATTGACACTTATGATATCAGATAAGTCATCCACTTCAACAAAAACGTTTCAAATCCCCAAGAGATCTATGATTAATTGTTTCAGTTAAGCTGCCAATTGTTTTCTCATTTATATTTTCAATTAACACAGTTACAAATAATGCTGTACAATATTTCACTTCTTTGCAGTGAATACAATCAAATTGAGCTCAGTAAGTTATTCACCGACCAACAACACTGATAAGGATATAATAATTCCATAAAAATAACTAAATACTAACGTTGAAGCTTTTGGGCTATTTTATTCATCATTACGTAGTTTTTTCTATCAGGAAGTCATTTACTTCAACATTGTGGTGAACGTTTAACTTCTAGATCCCGGCTCAATAGTCTAGAGTTCAATTATTAATGAACTTTAGTTTCTTTTTCTCTGAACTATCAACAAAAAGAAATGTCTATAGTATCTTATTAGTAATTAGAGTACTATTTACTATATTAATAATATGTGTAATGTTTCTTTTATAAACAGCTACTATCATTGGACGAATCTTTATGAAGATGATAAAAGTACCTAAGCAATGAAATCTTTTCAACTTTTCACATACAAATGCAGACAATATTTTTATTAATTGTCTGTTTAAGTGATAGAAGAGACATGATTATCAGCAAAATGCAGTGCATACAAAAATAAGTAAAAGACAATGTGAAGAAATGATAAGAGAACAATGAAAGCACTGAAGTATATGTCAGATGTTAGTTTAAATCAGTTAGAAATAAGATAATTCTAGAATATCACCAACTTAAACATTAAAAACTACTACTATATATAGTGGCCCGAGATCTGACTCCAGGTAGATCGTTTCTGCTTATCATCAAAATATACATGCCGCCAGTTCCTATATATAATCATCGACTTAAATTGCGTTGATGAATAACGGAATTAAATAAGTCAAAAACGAGAATGTACCTTTCAATACGTATATTTCGTACTATCGTTGATTGGAAAGCGAAGCAACACAAGATGGCGCTCAATGGAGGCGAGTGAGCCAACTCAGTCTAACCAAGGGTGAGTCATATTTATAGTCACACAAAAATAAGTTAGAAGCACGTGATGAGCAAGACATGAAATGTATACACATACTCTTATATAAAAAAGCATTCAGAATTAATAAGCGAATAATTGACAGGGTAAAAATGCGGCTTGAGATGAATGAATAGATTCATCTGTCCAGAGGCTAGAATAAATTATGTGGGTTTGACATGATACCAGCCCCACAATCTGTAAAACGGATTCTGTGTCACATCCTTAAATGTATCCACGTCACTGAATTCTTTGCTCTAATAAATACTTACGTACAAAATACTGATCTAGAATTTGCTCTAACCATAACATTTGTAATCGTCATTCAAAACTTGAAGACATAAGTATGGAATACTAAGGTGAAAGCGATTCTGCTTAAGACTTTTAGACTAATAGATAGGACATAAAAATACTGTCATCTCAGACAAGTATTGCCAATCAATATTTATTTGTCTGACGTTCAACCTACTGATAGCACTGTCGTGTTGATGACCATATACGTCATATATCTAGTTGATTTACTATTTTAAAATTTACTTCACAATATATATACTATCATCTTGAACATGGAAGTTGAATCCAAAGGTGTAGTTTGAAATGTAGTTCAGCAACATTCCACAATTCCCTTATTTCAAATAATATGAAGTTATAGGCTTACATTATCTAAAGATAATTAGACTTTTAACGTTAGTAACTGTGCTTGAAATTTAAATAAATTATCACTTACTTATTTTGGGTGAATTTTCTAAACATATTAAGTTACACTAAATTACACAGGAATGGAAACAATAAAATGTTTGAATTTTGGTCTGATTTAATAGATTTGTTAAATATTGAATTTTTCATCGTTATTGAGATCATATTAACGAACTGTTCAACTAAATAAGTACCATCTCATACGATACAATATGACGTTTATTATTCCTATATAGAAATATCTAATCTATGATTTATGTTTTAAAACCATAGTCTAATGAAATACATCTCTATATATCTGTATTTACTTTAATATACGTGGTAATAATGGATCGTATCTATCGAATTTTCTTACGAAAAGTAACAAAACAGTATACATGGTTTTGAAGAAAACGTGTTTCATAAAAGGAGCAGAAAGATTATAATAGTTTCATGCATTTGACTCCCCTTTCCATATTTGAACAAAGTAGAAACAACAATATTTGCCGAATACGATAAAGTCTTTGCACGTTTTTTTACTTTCTGTTCAATTACATGAAAACTAACAGGTTTAATTATTTTCAAATATTAGCAAAGTGTTTACGTTAAATAAAAAGGAATCATTAATAACGAATGTAACTCCACATTTTTTTAAAAAGAATTTTCAATAGTTGTTTCGACTGATAGTTTCTATAACCATGGAAGAAAAGATTATTGCTAAAATACAATAAAACTATTTTAAGACGTTAAATAAGAAAAAAAGAGAACATATGAGTTTAAACAACTACGTTAAGAGTACAATTAGTTGTAAAAATGTATCAAAATGTATCATTCGTTTATATTACATAGTTGGCAGATAGACTTCGTTTTGTTTTCCATGGTGTCAATCAATTCCTGGAAATATATTCAGTAAAAAAACAGCGTTTGTTTTTTCAAATCAGATGATTTATTTGTAAGACTTTGATTCTTATCATTATCATCATAAACTATGTTTACTCTGTCTAAACAAACAATGAAAGTTTCACTATTGAACCATCATTTTCAAAGAATGAAATATTACATGAAAAAAGTCAGTTATTTATTGAATACTTTGATAAAGATAAATTTGATGATCTTTGCAGTAATTCACAATGTTAACAGCTTCTAACACAGTAATCATGTGAGCATTAAATTGGAATATATTTAATCCCTATAGAACTTTATAGTTGATTATTTTTTTTAATTTATGAACTTAAATTACATTTAAACATTTTCTTCGAATTATCAAATGTTCACGTTCATAAATTCTATCTCAATCAGTTACAATTTTATTTAAACATCTAATAAAAGAATCAACCTTCATAATGAATAGGCGAAAAAAACTCATGAAACATGTCGACATTATTCACAAAAATAATAAACCCTTTTTGTTTTTTAAGTCCTAAACTCGTAAAAACAATAATCGGAGAGAGGTTTTATGGAGATCGTAGTAATTTAATAATTGAATTCATGAGTCAGTTAAAGCTAGACCATCATAGAAAACCTGAAAGCGCTGGACGGCCGTCACGTCTCATTGTGAGACTCCTCAGCAGTGCACATCCACGGTCCTTCCTTGCGAGATTCAAATCCAGGACTTATCAGTCTCACGCGCGAACGAATCTCGCGGGGCGGGATGGTAAATGCACACCGCTGAGAAATCCCATGCTAGGATAAAACAACCGTCCAGTTCTTCCAGGTTTTCCACGGTGGTCTAGCTTCAATTATTGATCGTTTGATAAAACTTATCTCTACGACATTCTGCTGGGTTAATCGATATTAAACAAGTACATTATACTTTATTACTTTTTAAAAATATGAAACTTTATTTTTCGATGAATATTACTAACTAAATATTTAAATAAATTTATGTCTTTGAAGAGCAATAAATTACTGAAACATTGAAAACCAACAAAGATCGTATAATAATTATGATAACATCTCTTAGAAGATAAAATTATTTTTATAACTGCAGATAGGTATCAATAAAGAGATACACTAAATATAGAATTGTTAATAATATCTAGTGATTAATAAACCATTTGTAAAATTTTCATAATATTGAACTAATGTAATTTAATGATCAGTTCCTTACTGACAAGGTTTACAAGAAGATAATAATAATCACTGGCTATAAATTACCACGTAAATCTATATGACATTTCATTTATCTAAAAATCAGTATAGAATTGTGACATTCAACAAAATCTTGAAAAATAAGAACACATAATTGATATTGTACAACTAGATTAAAACAAATGTTCATCAGGATATATATTTTCTACCAAATCTTGCGAATTGATTTTGATAAATCAACCACTGAAAATCAGGAAAAATTTAATAACTGTTTTATTCCAGTACGAAACAGATTAGCTGTTAAGACTCATGTACACCACTGGGGAACAGACTCAAGACCTTCAACACTCATGTTAAGTGAATTAATTTTAGGACACTGTGTTGAGATCTTGTAAGTTATAATTTTGATTTCAGTCAACTTTAAGATATTGCTAAATCATCATCCCTGATTTTCAGTATGTCCTAACTGAATAATCTACACAAATCTCCATTAGTCATAGTTTTACAAAATGATTTATTACATAAAGGAGTAAATTATTTTTTAAATAGATAATATTCTCTAATAACACTTACCTTCATCTAGATCTCCTCGTGCAGCAGCTTCTAAAAATATTAAACTTTGAGGAAATTTTACAACTCGATTAGAATTATAATGTCTTCTATCATTTAATGGAGATAATCCTTTTTTTTGTAATTTTTCTGATTCTTTTTGCATTTTTTTATCATAAATTTGCCATTCTTTTAATTGATTTGCACGTTCTTTACGTGCATTTTTAATACGTTTCATATCGGGTACACGTAGACCAGGTAAATCAATATCATCTGTAATATTTATTGTTGTATTTTCAATTGATCCATTTAAATTATCCATTATGTTTTAATTTATTCTAATAATTTATTGTATAAAGTGGAAGAAAACCGTAAAAGTAAATTCCCAAAATCTCAGTTTTTGATTTTTTTTTCAAAAAATATTTTTTTGTTTTATATCTAAAATATAAAATTAAAACAAAAAAATTATTCGTTTAATAAAATTTTGTTTTCAAGATGTTAATAAGAATTTTGTCATTAACTTTTTATTAAATGGTTGTGTACAAATTTACATTTATTAACCTGATCAATTCATTTGATCATATTTTAGTTGAAGGTACAGTGAAATAGTAGCGGTGAGACTCTAATTTATGGACGACCCTTGAACGAATTTTAAGTGACCTTGAGAATATTAGTCAATCAGCGAACACTAAGTATAGAGTAAAAATATATCATACAAAATCAAGGAAATATAATGGATACACTTCTTATACGTGGTTCAAAAACTTGTCAAAGTTAGAAAGAGGTTCGGTGGTTGTGAAATCGTAATGCATGCAGTGGAGTAAATCATCCAAATGGCTACAGAATAGTCGACCTCTGGAGCCATAATAAAGTCTCAAAAACTCTCTCAGCCTCGACCACATAGCTTCAATATTGCTTATGTACACTCCGGTTGTTGAGTGCACAAAATGCTACTTGCGAATAACGACACGATGCATGCTCTCCAAACATCTGTATAAATTGTAGTATTTGGCTGCAGCCAGTGTGACTTGTACTTTTATTATCCAGTTCGCGATAATTGTCGTAACTTGCCTCAGTTAGGAATTATATATGTGGTTTTCATCACGAACTGACATCAGCTATAATGCCAGAATTTTATTTAGCCAAATGGATGAAAGGGTTTCATGTTAAAACCGAGATCCGTTATACTTGATTGACTCGTTCACAAATTATAGTCTCGCCGTTTTATTTGTTATAGTCGCTCAATTATCCCGTTTTGTACAAAATTCCCTGTGAACCGATCGTATGTTAGCATTCAGCACTGAAGCTGGCGCCGTAACCTTGAAATCTCTGAAACTCTTCTCATTGGCTCGTCCATAAATCAGAGTCTCTCCATAGTAGCTATATAGTAACCGTTACATATATAAGAATTATATATATATATATATATAACGCTTATTAGAGAAATTTATTAAAACAAAATATGTTACGTAAACGAATTATTTAACAGATCCTGAGCGCCAAATATATATCAGTCATTATTTGTTTTTTCATGAAGTCCTGATAAATTCTAGTTACTGAGATTAGTTCAAGTATAATAAAACATTATGTAATATAAAATATTAAGTGACTCAATATTGTTTAAACGATATATGGTATTAAATCATACCCTTAATCGTAAAATATGTTACAGTTATCTGATCTAAGTTTCATTTATCATAAATTTTCTAGTTTTCCAACTAAAACGAAAATTTATTTTTTATGCTTTTCTGTAATCCATGAATTTTAGAATAATTAATTTGAAGACAGTTATGCTATACAGAGCTGAAACTTCGAGAACTAAAATGATCGTCATCAAAAATGTACAAGCATTTATAAACAGTTGTCGACACAAGATACTCAATGGCTGTTGGTCGGAAACCATCAGGAATAGCCTACTATGGGAGAAAACAAACTAACTTCCTGCTAAAGAAGAAATTAGTAAAAGACGTTAGATGTGGATAGAATATACATTAAGGGAATCATCAAACTGCATCATGAGGCAAGCGCTAACTTGGAATCCTAAAGCGGAAGGTAAAGATGAAGACTAAAGAACACACTGAGTCGAGAATTGGCAGTTGACATGAAAAGAATAAATAGAAACTAAAAACAACTAAAAAAGATCGCTCAGAACAAAGTCCAATAGAGAATACTGGTGGACGGGGGTGACAGGCGTAAGTACGCAAGTAAGTAATCATAGCAAAGTAGAATATTTTGTGAAAAAACAATCTATTAATTAAATCATCATGTTAATTTCACGATATTTTTGGTGATCTTTTCGAATTGGTAGTCTAATTGACCGAAATTGAATAACAACCAAAATCATGGTTCAAAATCAACTATAATTATAATACAGTGAAATACGTATATATATTCTACAAAAGATTTTCATGTTCTATTAAGAGCGAAATTTATTAAAAACTAATTGAAGTTTATTATTATTGATGATGATCAAGTAATTTTTTTAAACTTATGAATTTCATGTTATCTATCTCAAGCTACTGGTCTATACTGAACATTCAAATCGGTTAAAATGTAGACAGGTTGACAAAAGATAATACGTTATTTACTTAAGTATGTAAGACAATAATGACTTCTGATAAGTCTCATACTGACGAGTTCGATAATATTTACTTTAACTTTTTTTAGTTAAGAAAAATCAAAGGGCAATGAGCTCAAACGATATATATGAAAATAAGTCACATTGATAAGTATTGTATGTTTATTCGTTCGGTATACTTTTTCAATATATATATATATATATATATATATATATATATATATATATATATATATAAAGAGAGAAGGAGGAAAGGGAAGGGGAAATTTCGTATTTTCTCTGATAAGTACTATCGCAACAACAAGCAGGAAACGTGATCTTAATACCTATCTTTCTCCATATAAAACGAACTAATATTTAAGGATCTCCATTTAATTCAACCATATGTATATATTTATATTGTAAAAGGAAGTTACGATCGAGCTACCACTGTAATAGTCATTTTTCTGAGCATTTGTATTAAATGAAAGACAAAACTCGGAGAAGACGAAATAGTTAAATCTGTAACTTGTTGGTTGACGTGGATCACTTAAACAGTATGACAAGTATTGAAAAACGTGTAAACGAGCTATAGCTTCTAGTATGGTCTTTACAGAATAAAACGAATTAAAACCTGGAATTTATAAATGTTAAAATTCCCTCAATACAGTATATAAAAAGATCTATAGAGAGATTTTAGAGTATTTCATCGTTTACTACCTGTCAAAAATACTGGGATTCTTCGATAATTCTTTGGTAATGTCTTCAGAAGCCTGGGGAAACCTGAGAATATATCGTCCAGTTAGCACACAGCATGAAAAATTCTAGAACACTGATGGAATATCTGTCACATTGCGATTGGGTGATTACTTATTATAATACAAAATTTAGCATAGGTCCACAAGTTTCCGGGGAAAAAATGTTATTTTCAACCGAAAAATACTATTGTTTTCTGTACGGAAATGCAATATGAATTAAAGGTTCCGTTCCCACTTTACGCTTTTTCTCTACTCTTAGAAATCCATTGTAGGAGCAGTCATCATCGAGTGTTTGAGTAGCAGAAATATTTTAAGCAAGAGGAAATTTGTCGTTACAATTGTTCAAATAGATTAATACCTGATCATCCACTAGCATAAACGTACAATCAGTGATCAGTGAAATGAAACTTTATAGACTAACTAATTAGTCATTAGAAAACCATCAAGTAGATGCTTTTCAATCCACAAAATGTCTGTTCTTCATTACAGAATACTAATTAGCATTACTGAATATTTGAAACACTCTAGTGAATTTTTTCGATTTAAAATTCTTATAGTTCAAGTGTACAGTTGAACTCATCACAATGTATTTTGTCTAACATTTATTAGACGATAAGATGATTGTTCATTATTCTACTTTACAACAATAAACTACATTTTCTATATGTCTACAAAAACTTTATTCTCAATAAGCCTACCCAGTGATAACACATATATTAGAAGTATTATCTAGAAATTGCTTAATCATATATTCACGTTAATCTCATCCAAAAACCAATCAAATAAACATTTGTATAAACCGAAAAAAAGCAAACAGCAAATAAGGAAATGACTATAGCACATATAAGAGATAGGGGAATTAGAAGAAGTGGGTACTAATAGTGATATTATTATCTGTATTGAATATAATATCGATAGAATAAAGTTGAAATTTTTTCAGATGTTAGACAAACTACATCAAATAAAAATACTACTACTACTACTACTATCACCAGTAATAGAAACAGTGACAAAATCGGTAGTTGGAAATGCTCAAAAACAATATTTTTATTTTAATAAAAGATAACAAGAATTAATGATGATATTAACTATCGTACTACTTCATCTGATGATTGCAAGAATAAGAAAAATCAATTTACAATTTATTCATTTTCTTTTAACTAGAGAAAGTTAGATAATTGAAAGTAGTACATATAGTTGTAGTAATCACATTTGCGCCAATATATTTATATATATATACGGTATGTATAACCTGAATAGACTGTTGAATTGCTTTTATTCACAACATTTACCGATAAAGTGGTTATCATTAAAATTAAAACACTGATCTACGATTGAATAAATTAAACTATCTCTATTCAAGCATAAGTGTCCTAATCTGACCTAACTGTCAAAGGGATAATCATGATCCAAAAAATATTTTTAATTTCTCATTAAATTATAAGGCTAACCCATAAATCATGGTATATATATATATATATATAAATGATTGTGGTGAAGTAATAATAAAGTATCAAGTTATAAATAAGTTTGATTTTATAAATAAACGTAGCTTCTCTAAGGTATATGTAATGAACAAGTGATTTTTTTTTTAAATTACATCTTTTAAACATGAGGTGATATCATATTGTCATTTGTTTATGTTAAAAATGTCAATATCATTTACATCAGATTGCACTGAAAGCAGAAGATTGAAATGTCAGTTGCTTTTTTTCTTGACCAATGAACATCTAAAACTCATGAAACAAATTACGTTCATTGATTAAGCTTAATTCATTAACTTAATATTGGTGGAATCAATGATTTTAACATAGTCTTTGAAAAATTTAAAGTTATTGCAAAATAAACATTTATCTCCTACTAATTATCTCTTTTTAATAAGTGATAATGATAATGATCTGTTTTTTTAGAGTAGATCTAACCTGCATGGCACTAAGTAGAAAGACACTACATTATAAAGTATATCAGTATATATAAAAGACTAATTCAGAATTATTTAGTAGTACTTATAACCAAGTGACCTATAAAGTCAGAAGTCATTAGATCGGATATAGATTATAGATCCCTAATGAGATTATGAATGTGAGAAATCGTAAAACATTTCTAGTAATTAAAAAAAAACT